TTGGAAAAGAACAGTCGTCATAGCTAGTACTCCCCCTTACTTTCAGTGTCTGCCCTATCCCTGAATGCATTCAAATGGTACCAAGAACTGGTCCATGGAAGGCTCCATACCGCGGAGTTAAACCGGAATTCGAGCCAGGAACTCCTCGAGTTGTGAAAGTCAACGCAAAAGGAAAAGTGATCCTAGACGAGTAATAGAGGGTATTCTGATTCAATATCATGTTGGTTCATAAAATGTTCACCTTGAGATATAACCTTTGATTCGTTTGGACTTCTGGTAGCGATGAGAAATTCGACACATGAAATGTCGAAACTATTCGATTCACCGAATATCGTACTTAAAGGCAGTGGCTGGAAGTCGGAGACAATTTCCAGACGTTCAGACCACGCCCATTAGAGCGGTAAGGTTGCATGGCCTCCACAAATGACGCGTACCTATTAGCGCCAGCCATGTACTTACTACTTTTGAATTTGTAAATAACCATGAAACTCTCGCCCTCTTCGAAAGCTCGAACAAACTAGTGCTTGATGAACATTTGAATTATAAAGGCTAATTGACATGGATAAAGAACGACTGTGATTAGCTACTCTTAAAGGGCTCAAAAAAGACTGGGTGAAAAGACAGTTGTCAGACTTTGTGACCGTCACGATTAAAAACAGATCCAGAGGACGTTGAAGATGTATCCAATCACAAGTACTCGTCGTGCTTTCGTTGCGACGTACGTAGCTCCTAAGTTTCCGTGTTCTTACCCCTCTCCTAGACTCACCATTAATCCCTTCCTCCGCTTCCCTCATCTCATCACAAATGGTGTCACAACAAAGTACACAGCGCCTAAGGCTGGTGTCAGAGTCCGCGATCCGTCGCAGGTTTCGCTGATTTTCGCGATTTGCGCGATTCACGCGACGCGGGGTCACGGAAATCACAAGTGCCCGATCAATACTGCAAGGTGTTCTCCAATCCTGCCGCCACTTCTGCTTGATAGTGATGGCTGAATGACGACTGCTCATGATTCCACTTGTTTCATATTCAGTGTTTCAATGAATCGCGCGAAACGCGCGAAACCTGCGACGGACCGCAGACTCTGACACCAGCCTAAAGCGTCAATCACTCATTGCACGATGTTTAACGATATATTGTGCGTATGAGCCGTGACTGCACGCTGTGCAACCGTCACATCACATCAATGCCTTGACATCAACGCGTGAGCGGAGACCCACCGAGAATCCCATTCTAAATTTCTGTTTATACCCGAATTTGCTATATCTCCTAGTTCAAGAACGCAAAACTAGCACTCATTGCTAAAAAACTGTTTTTCATAACGATGTCAGAGGAATGTAAGAAGTGGGGAGGGAAGGGCGTAGTGAACGTAGCGACTAGAGAGCAAGACAGCCCAGGAAAAAAAACATGTCAAAGAAGAGCGGCTAGCTAGTAGAAACTGACGAGGAGAGGAATTGGTATATAGTCGAATGGTAAAAAAAAATTTGCGAGGATGCGCAGTTTAGGAGGCTGCGCTAGACCTTTACTTCATTTGTTTTACAACATGCAAAGAAAAACGAAAATTGTAAAAAAAAAACGTGAAGAATGGAAGCAGAAGTGAAGAAGAAGGGTTTAATAAAGTTTGGTTTCGACGTAATTGTTCTTAATGAAGTTAAGGATTCAAAAGTGTCAGAATCTGCAGCTAGAGTGAAAGTGCTACGCGACTAGAGGGAACGCGTCAATCGATATGAGCGGGCCCAGGATGATAAAAGAGGTCCTAACAGAGAGTTTGTGGTTACCGCAAGGGGAAGCTTATGTGTGGGAGCTGTCAGGTGTTTTTTTAATTCCTTTTTTTGCGTTCCCTCTCTAGTCACGGACTCTGACACTGCCGAATCCATTTGTTGGTTTGTCTAAAAAACATCTACCTGATCGCGGGTGTGGTTTGAGGACAGAAAGCGACTTTTCGCGTTTCGCAGCGCGAAACATTTTTCGCTGCGGGAACCTCGGGTCCACTGATGATCAGCGGTGGACCTGAGGTTCCCGCAGCGAAAAATGTTTCGCGCTGCGAAACGCGAAAAAGTCGCTTTCTGTCCTAGCGAACCACACCCTCACCTCTGAGCAGAACACTAAAGGATGATGAGATTGCAGGAACCATATTCTGCGTCATTTTTTGCTGCCTTCTCCGGAATTGAATCGTGAAGGCATTTCCTATTTTGTAGCAGAATTGGTTTATTTGACAGACTATTTGTTTGATAAATGATATAATGTCTAGATAGGTTGGACGTAATCTTCGTAAGATCCACAAGGAGGCAAATCGCCGGCTCCCCCACTTTTCTTTCACGATTTGGGGCGCGGCCGCGGCAAACCCGGCCGAGTATGCGCCATCAGCTTACCTGAGTATTCGACGTTACATTACGGCATCAGCTTGCCTGAGCATTCGACGTTACATTGCGATACGTAATGTAACGTCGAATACTCAGGTAAGCTGATGGCGCATACTCGGCCGGGTTTGCCGCGGCCGCGCCCCAAATCGTGAAGAAAGTGGGGGAGCCAAGCAGCCATGATTTTATCGGGGATTTTTTCACTGCAACTGCTTGGACTTTGTGCTTCCATCCAGTAAGTCGTGAGAGCAAAAGCCCATCACCCTTTCAAATATCTACAGCGGTGTTTTCAAAAACTGTTCACCAGTCAGTGACCTCAGCAAAAGTAATAATACATACCTGAAACGAAAAAGCGAGGAATCATAGGAACAGTTGTGATGAACTTTCCAACATAATTTTTTGACGTAAACTGCATTACGGGAAATAAGTGGACGCACTTGACTGCCAGAGCTACTTGACTACTAATTAGTGTCTACAGGTGAAAATCAGAAGGTTGCCTTAAATTTTCACCGAACGAAGATCTGCCGATATTCATGGGTTTCAGCAATGTGCTCTCAGGAGACGGCAATATGTTGAGTGCGCAAATCGTTTTGAATACAGTGACATACTAGTAGGAGCTCAGTTGCGTATAAGAGATGAGGTACTCATCCTCAGTGGGGCTTGGTGGGCGAGAACGGCAGCATGCGGCACACTGCATTAGGGTTATGGAAACGCTCAGTTTTAGGACTGAGCCTCAAAGGAGAAGAGTGGCTTCCGAAGTGCGTGAGCAACCTTTCTCTCGAAAATCGTCTCCCTCCGTAGCTCAGTTCCAGAGAAACCTCCTACAGACTGCACCCTCCCCCGTCCTCCCCCGTTTGTAGTTACAGAAAGAGAGCATTACCTAACGAAGAAGAAACGCTGACTCTTAAGAAATATCCTTTTGGGGGAAGTTAATCCTTCATTGTGAACCACATCTACCTCTACAAGTCGCATTCCTTCAGGATTTCCGTAGTGACTCTAACACCAGTATAGCTGGGAGAAAGCTCGCCCCAGTGCGACATCTGTTTAAACGAGCGCGCGCGGGAAGTTTTTTTCAAAGAGGCG